TTGAGTCAAGTTTAAAATTTATATAACTCAAATCAAGTTGAGTTGAAAGATTTTATAAAATAAATTTGACTTGACTCAACTTAAAAAAAATAAGTCAAATAGAATTAATCTTTAAACTCGACTCAACTCAACTCATTCAGAACTCTAGTCTTGTATGATCTTTATTCATATTTATAAATTTACAAGAAAAACAAAATAAAACAAAAAATACAAATATATCTATAAACTAATCTAGTGAATCAAACTACTTTATCAATACTAACTTTGCACTTTACTAAACTAAACTATATATCAAAAAAGAAAAACAAACTATTTTAAACTAAAATACAGATATCAAACATTCAGAAGAAAAGGCGTGGTTACTGTCAGACCAAAAATTTGATCAATAGGTATCATAAGCAATTACCGCTGTGAAAAGAAGCAGATTATATGAAGGTATTTGTGTAGAGTGAGGGAAACTGGAGGATACCCAAACTATAATGAAATCATCTTATATATTATTAGATATTTTCCATATTTGTAGTGATTCACATCTTTTCAACTATATCTTGTGAATTGAGTAGAATATATCATCAAATAAGAATGATATAAGACCAAGGATAAGTTGTTTGTTATTTATGATATTATTATTAATGAAGTGAGTGATGAAGAAATGATCTCTTTTATTAAGTTTATGAAATATAGATTATTGTTAATTGAGCTATAATTCTATATTAAGGATTGATTCACATACAAAACAGGTGTGTCATTATTAGGTCTATTGAGTTCTTTTAGTTGAGACATAAATGATTATTTGTGCTCACAGATGATGTTGCTAAGAGAGGTTATATTGTTGGAATAAGTTCAAATATAATTAAAGACTTGTAAGATCAATTTAAATTTAAATTGTTTCCTTTTGCATATATCAAATGATGTCACTCTAGCATTTTCTGAGTTATTAAGGATATAAAAAAGAGATTGCCAATCAATTTGATAATTGCTGTATTTAGCAGGTTAAGGAAGAGTTAAAAATATTTTGGCTTAAGAGACTTATTGTAGGTATTTAATAAATAAATGAGGCAGAGTGATAATTGGTATGTTATTATAATATATAAAATATTTAAGATCTAGGTGATTATTGTTGATGATCAGAAGAGTATTGAAAAGTTGCTTTACTAAAGTATCTACTGTTGTTAAATTGATTTGATCTGTAAGCTTTGACTTTTATGAGTGTTAACGCGACTTTATGAGTTATAATAAGCTGCATCAAGATCATTCAAATGTGAAAATATAGAATTTTGAAGGTAGGATTCAGAGAGGGAGATTTCTTACATATTGCAATGATCTTTTAATATAATACAATTGCAACTTGTAAATCAACACAGATTTCAATATTAGAATTTAGTGATGCAGTATAAGTTGCGGTAAGAATAGCAACAATTTTCACTAATATAGAGGAAGGAGAATATAACATAAATGTTGCATTAAAGGAGATTTGAGGCCAATTCTGATCTGTTTGTAACTATGCTATTCCCATCTGGCAGTCAGAAGATTCTAAAGATGTAAAAGAACTATCTGTATAAAATTAGAGAAAATTAGCATTAGTAAATTGCAATTTAAGATAATCTAATCTATTAATGAATGTTTAATCAAAGAAAAGAATATCTAAGTTAGATAAAGGTTTAGTTGGGTATTGATAAAGAGAAGTTAAAGTTGATAAAACGATTTTAAGAAGCATTAAGTGAGAGAGGCTATACTACCATTCCTCGTGAGATTTGTGAAAGACTTTAAATGTTAAACAATATACTTTAGGTAGTTTAATAGTATAAAAACTATGACATTGTTATTAATTGTAAGGTATAAAAGCTGAATAATCAAAAAGATTACATCTAATACAAGGGGTAATAGATATTTAATTATAAATAGCTTGATTTAGCAAATAATATTATGCATGTATGATTGTATCGTCAACTCTAATTACTTTACCTATGATAAATGTTATATATTGATTAGACTAAATGACAATAAAAGTTGGATTGGTTAGTGAGGCATAAAATTAGTAGATTGAGCAGGTGCTTTGATGAGTGATATATGAGAAGGATAATTATTAGATAAGAGTCTATTCCCATTATTGATTAAAAGTCACAATTCTAATTGTTTGAACTATTTAGCACTATAGAATACTGAATTGTAAAACCATATTTAGGTCAAAAGCTATAAATAGGTTAATACTATCTATAGTGATAAGTTGATCGATATATAAAATCAAAAGTGATCGCAGTTTCAGTATATTTTGCTAATATACCTTAGAATGGAGAAATTGTAGTATTGGAAGTGAGCTTCCATCTAATTATTTTAAGTTGTAATCTTTGTCTAAATATTATTGAAATTTAAATCTGATCGGCTTAACAGCTAATAGGAAACCTGACTACTAATCTTAAAGGACTTGGTCTCTATATAAGGTCAGTCAGTTAATAGAAATGATAGTAACCATTCCAAAAGTTGTAGTTATAAAATACGTAATTGTGAAGTTGAACTAAGAAGTGAAATGTCATTAGTCATTTTTAATAGATCAGATGATTTAGTTTGTATCTGTTTATTATACAGGTTTGCTAAATTGTAATCAAAGGTTGAATGAATAACTGAAGCAGATATGAATCTTGAAAGCTCTAATTTCTTTTTAAAGAAAGTTCTGAAAAAGGTCATGAGAGTATCACAAACTGAATGAGAAACAAACATCAGTTTTATTTTGTATAATATACAAGGGATGACAATAGTATTAAAGATTGCAACTATATATTTGACAGTAAGCTTTTTCTTATTAAAAACATTCTTTGTCTTGGTAAACTCATCAAAAATTTGTTTGGTAATGAATTGTTTATTATTAAACAGAGATATCCAGACTTCTAAATATCTAGTAGATTCCTTGTGATATAGTGATGAAAGCCAAATATTCTTATCATTGAAGTTAAAGTTAACGGAAGAGGAATCTTTATTATTAATCATGAGAACTGACTTATCTCAAGTGATCTGAATATTATTAAGTATATAGAAGAAGTCTGTTATGCTTATGATATTTAGAAGATCAATCCTAAAATCTGCTAGCCAAAGCATGTCATCTATATATATAAGGGTTGGTACTTGGTTTAAAAAACTTTGTATATTGCGTTTTATAATATCAGCTCACCAGTAGACATATTATGTATAGTCATGCGCTGAATTTTATATGGAGTACAGAAGAGGGTCATAGATATATATTATAAGATGGAAGATATAATTTCATTTTGGTTAATATCTAAGAGGATTAAATAAATATCAGAATTACTGTATGCAGTAAATACTTGATTAAAATGAGAAAGGAAGATTGATATCAAAAATTTTATAAATGCTTCTGAGATACGAAGATAATCTAGAGCTCTAATTAATATAGTAATATTAATATGATTGTATACTTTTGACATGTCTTGAAATAAGATTCAAAGATTGTTGTGATAGAACAAAGTATCATAATTAATATTATCCAAGATGTGTATTAGTTCAAAAGTGCTTTTACAAGATAGATCAGCAAAGTTGTTTCCTTTAAGAATATTATTGGTGGATAAGATGTTCAAAAGTTGATCATTGATTAATTTTATGAGAGCTTTACGTGGACACTCAAGAAGCATAATAAGACGTGTATTCGTTAAGTTATATTTTCAGGGTTTTAATTTAGGTATTAGATATACGAAAGCTAGATTCATCTACTAGATGCTAAATTGAGTGACAGACATGATCCAAAAACATTTTAATGTAAAAGGCTTAAGATGTTTTAATATTTTGTTAGATATCTTGAATGGTTCAGAAGCTTTATCATTAGGAAGCACTTTAACAATATTATGCTATTCTTCTTTTAAAGAGGATTGCATAATGGAGTCATATATAGTAGGATCTATCGATTTATCAGGTATATAAATATATTTTCAAACTTCTAGAAATGACAGATTAAAGTATTATGATTCAACTACTCTTTGAAAGTGTCTTGCTGTTTCATTTTGAATATTCTTAGGATCCGTAAGGAGTTCTTTATCAAAACTGTTATTGTTTATATATCTGTCCAGTATAATAGTATTGCAAGGATGTTCTAATAATGAATCAAATATAGCTTTCTGATCATCAACTAAATTTATATATCTTCATTCAATTGTATCATTAATAGCTTTTGTTTTGAGTTCTACTTCATTCAATTTGGCTACTATAGATAAAACTTTATGGAGATCGATTAAAAGAGAATGAATCATTCTGATGTCTTGTATTAAGAGTTGACTGATATTAGGAACTATTATAGTATATTCTTCTGAGAATATTTGTATCTTTTTGTATAGAGTAGTCCATTTGGGATTAATAATATTATTCATGATGCATCTGCTACAAGGATGATAATTTATAGTATTTTGCAAAATATCACAAATGCCACAAAATTTTGTGATAATCACAAAATTCTTATTATCACTATATAATTTCACAAAAATTTGATCCATATTATTTGTATGCACAAATATGCATAAAATATGCACAATAAAACACATAATCCGCAGTATAGATAATCTTTTAATAATGTAAATCTACTTAACTATAAGTAGAAAAATCATAGATATTATAGACAAATTTCATTAAAATAGTGTCTAGACGAAAAGTCAGTTCTATTACAGCTTATACACAAGTTGCTGAATATAAGAAGTATTTCACGTTAATGATGATTTACTTTTTTGTAATTATTGTGATCTTTCAGTAGAATGAAAGCATAAATCAACAATTGATGCATATTGTGCAAGTAAAATACATATTTTACAAAAAAAAATTTTGAAACGAAAGAAAAGGCAAAAAGTCAACAAATATTACAATCATCCTTACTTACCTCAGAATCAAAAAAAGAAGTAATAGAAGATTTAATAGAAGCATTTGCTAATACCAACATTCCATTAGAAAAAGTGAATTTCTTATTTACTTTTTTTTTAAAACATACCTTAAAGAAGGAGGAGCAATTCCTCAAGCACTAACTGTATGCCAATTATACTTACCTAGAGTTTTTAATAAACATATGGATGCATTAAAAATAATTTTTAATGCTAAACCTATTTGTATTATTATAGATAAAAGCAGTGATGATTGTACACAAAGTGTAATTAATACCCTTTTTACATATCGTTCAGATACTAAATTAGTATCTGTTGATTTTTTAGAACAAGTTAATAATTCAATAATTGCATAGACACTTCTTCCTATATTACTTTTTTATAATATTTCTTTAAAATTTCCTTTTTTATTTCTCTCTGATTCTGCTGCATACATGAAGAAGTATTATCAGAATATTTTAAAACTAATTATGCCTCAATTAATACATCTACCATGCCTGTACATATATTAAATCTAATTGGATAAATTATTTAAATTAAAATTTTATATTATTATTATTTATTAATTATTACAAATATTAAATTTTAATTTTTTTTAGTGGAACTTGATGCGATTTTTCACAATTTTTAATTTTAAAGAATTTTTTGATTAAAGTAAAGGATTCTTTTATGAAATCTTCTGCATAAAAAGCTTGATATCTAACTCATTTACGTATGAATAGTATTGCAACACCATGTAAAATTCTATTACCAAACAAAATATGATAAAATAGTTAATTTAAAATGGTTTTTTACACTAAAGAATACATTCTATATTAGCAAGTTTTTTATAAAATTAAATATGAAGTTGATCTGAAAAATGAAACAATTGGTACTATCTATTTAATTTTACAAAATACACAACAATTAGGAACTATTATAATCTATACAAATTTTATTTAAACTTATGCTAAAGCATTTGTTCAAGATTTGGATTTTTTTCAACAACAAAAAAAGCCAGTTTTTCCATTTGTTGAAACAAGATTAACAAATTTTACAATTTATCTTGAATCTAATCAAATGATTACTTATTTTGATATAAAACTTGAGAATCTTATAACAAGTCTTTATTTTAATCCATTAGCAGTCTATTCTATTTTTTAAGCGGTATTTCAGGCAGCATTCAAAAAATTTGAATTACATATTCCAAATTATCCAACTCGTCCTTTATTTTATGCAGCTTATATTTTTGATCCTAAATATATGCATCTTGAAAATAATATTCAATGACATAGTATTTATCAATATTCAATTATTAAAGAACTTAATAATCCTTCTGATAATTTATTACATGAATGGGGTATTTATTGTGGATTAGAATTTGATGAAAATATAGAAGAAAATAAATTGGATATTTATTAGAATAATTTAGTAATGCGTTTACCAATTCTTTTTCAAATAGCATTGAATTACATTTGGTTATCTATATCAAGTTGTGCTGTGAAGCATAGTTTTTCTTTATATAATACTCTCCTAAATAATGATCGTTAAAACTTATCAAAAGAATCACTTAAACAACTAAATATGTTGTATTTTAATTGGGATAATTTAATTTTTTTTTATTAATTGTAAATAAAATTGTAATAAAAATTTTCACATAATATTACAAAATATTATAAAAAATGTTACAAAATCACACAAAATCAATAAAAATTAGATTACAATACAGTACAAAATTGATTTACATCACACACAAAATTTACTTTATATCATCACAACAAAACATCATCCTTGATCTGCTGCTTAAGTTGCAAAGTTTTTGTACTAGTTTAATGCATTTGTATATCAACTTAAGGATGTGTTGCCTAAGATTTCTATTATAATGCGAAGTGTATTTGTTAGAGATTGTTTTATTTGTAACATCAATGATTGATTTTTGTAAAAGATCCTAATAATAGTTCAAGTGGTGAATTGTATAAATGCAGTTTAATGACAAATAGTTAAATCTTATGTTTTTGTATTGTTAGCCAACTGAAGTTTTAAAAGCAATTCAGTCATTTTCAGACATATCATTATACTAATAGACTAATTTTTATTGCAGAGTATTGTATGAAGGAAGGGTTGATTGATATTAACAAAATAGTAGTATAAATCATTGTATAATCAGATAAATTGTTATCAATTTTGTCTACCACTTGATCAATGAGATCCAGTACTAATGAAGAATGAATAAAAATATGATCAATCTTAGAATATCTTGTATTAGTTTATAGATAATAAGATCATCAGCCAATTTTTGGTTTTTGATGAGATCTAAATTGTTGATTAAATGAAAGTTATCAAGCGAGGTGAAGAAGCTTTTAAATTTAAAAGATTAGATGTCTTAGATAGATCCACATTAAAGTTACCAAGGAGTATTGTGAGGTAATCCTTTTGGTAAGCATTGTTTATGAGGTTTAATGTTTTCTTATAAGTTTTGTCACGTAATTTTTTATCAGAGCTGAAAATGTAAATATTAATTATACTAAGTTTATTTTATTTTTAAATTGAAAATTGATTGAAAAAATGTGATAATAAAAGGAGGCGTAATAAAACACGTGATTGACCAAGTGTTTTTTGATGAGAAAGCTAACTCTGAATCCTATACTTTGAGTAGAGGGTTTGTATTAAAGAAGGGGACAAATTTATCAGAACAAATAGGTTTTAAAGAATGTATGTAGAAAGGGTTTTGAAGTTCATTTTCTGTAAAATGATAATGTCTAAATTATAAATAGCATATAGATTAAAAAGGATTTGTTATTTGTATGGTAGAGTAAAAAAACAAGTATTATGGATTGCGATATTGAATATGGAAGGCACTATTTTTGTGTTAGATGTTTGTGAGATCATGATTATTTGAAGAATAAGTCAAGAGTTGGAAGCTCTGTATTATCATTTAAAGTATTAATAGCACTGGACAAATTAAGTTTAAGAATTGAGACTTTATGATCTGAATGCATATTATCATATATCATGTTTTAGATACTGGTAACTGCTCTAAGTGCAATATTGAGTTTCTCAACAGTGACTTTATGATAAGTGCAGAGTTCTTCATTTTCTTTTTGTAATTAGGTAATACATTTATCATATTCATTATATTTATTGACTTTGAAGTATGAGGTATCTATTTTAAGTTCATATACTGTATCAGTCTCCATGGCATCTTTTGCTTTATTAGCTTCATTGAGTTCTGCAGCTTTCTTAGGCGTAATCATGAAAATGTTGAGGTGCTTTTCAACTTCATCAAGACGGTATATTGAAAGGCAAAGTCATTATAAAATGTTGCGAGGGTTGCAGTGATGGTATCAGATTTATTTAAGATTTTTTGTGTATCTGTTAGCTTATGTGTAGGTGTTTTAGGTGATCTGTATAATACATTTTTCTCATTTATTTATTCTGACTATAACTTTTATACGTGAATTGAGTTATCGAAAGAGGTTCTATTCTTAGGTATATTAGTATTATTGGTGGGTGTTAAGGGTTTTTACTAAAGGTTTGGCATTTTTAATCCTATTAGCGAAAGTGTGTAGATTGTTGAGATCAAATATTATATTTTAATCATGTACAAATATGATTTTAAGACGTAGCATAAGTGCAAAATAATTTTTGAATTGTGCAGGCTTATATCACTGGTAAAGATTTTGTGTTTGTCTATCTTTAGGATTTGGTCATTTGCATTTATAATTATGCGAATCATATTTAGAAATGAAATAATGTACATATAAGTTAGTATCAGATGCAGTCTAGATGAGTTTTCTGTTATCAAATTCGATAGGATCCCTATTTTTTGCTACTTCAAGGTCTTCTTTGTTTCAGAAATGCATAAAAGTATATTGCAGATTTCTATAGTTTGATCTTGCTTTAGGAATCACTTATGTAAAAGCATTGACTGTTTTGCTAATAGGCTCCAGTTCTCTACCTGTGGTATTTTTCAAAAGATTCGTAAGTTTCAAAACAAATTGAGAACAAGCTTTAAATTTTATCATTTGTGAGAGAACAGACGTGTATTCTAACTATGTCTTTCAATACAAATATGCTAGTGTGGGAGTTAAAAAATAACAGATCTGTCTTAGATATATATAAAATAGTTGCTTGCTACCAAAGATTTTTTATCACTATTGTGTATTTAGTGATTGTATCAAATTGGGCAAATGTTGATCTGATGATCAGTTCTAAAGTAAAAATAAGAATTTTAGTAACCTTAATTGATAGACTCAGGTCAAATTTGAATGGGACTAATATAACTAGAGGTTTAAATGTGATAGTTTTCATATTAGGAATTTTGGTAGCTATAGCACAGTTTATGTCTTCTCATATTATAAATCCTAATCAGATTATTTTTAATGTTTTATTTTTAGGGTCTTGTTTGATTGACACACCAATAAATGATAGATATTCTATATCATTGAACAGTTCGTAAGCTTTATTAGTTTTTTGCGAAAAGATTTATTAAGAAGAAAAATTTTTGTGACATAGTAAATATA